GTTTATTAAGCTGTATAAATGCGGTAAATTCGTTTAACTTTGGAAATATTGAATTTATATTAGTGTATATAATCTTCCACTGGAGAACTTATTGTCTTAGTTTTTTGTGATGTTAACGATAGTTGGCTTCTTTTTGATGAATTTCATAGTTAGGCCCACTTCTCCATTTTCGAGGCGGTTTTGTAACGTAGCGCGTAGTGAATGCAGGTACTTTAATTGACGGGGTGTTTTGTCGTCGGATATTTTGATATCTGTGAGATTAATACTATCTAGATTTTTTTTGTGTTTAAGAACTAAGAGCGCTGTTTCTTCATTTGGAAAAATGACTCTCAGTGGTCTTTTTTTTTCCGGTGATGCTTTGCCCAAACGAAAACAAGTGATTCTGAAATCTTCCATACCGGTTGATAATTTGGCAAGTATATTAGATGCCTCTTGAAGGTCGTGTTCTTTGCGATTTGCAATATTTGAATATTTCTTCAACTTCGTCATCTGGTCGTTGCTCAACATGGTAGTCTTTGAAATATCAACGAAGTGAAAGGAAAAGGAGAAGACGAGAACAGAGATGTGAAAAACAACAGCTATTAACCAACTTTCTCCCCATAATAGAACAAGTCGAAGACGTTATCTGTGAAAACAAATTAACATCTAATTTAACAGAAAGCATATATTACAATTTTGATAGAAATGAAACAGAAAAACTGCCAGATACAGAAAGGCTAAAGATAAATGAATTTCTCCAAATGCTCCATGACATTTCATCAAAAAATGCGTCAAAATCAAGTAATTAGAATAAGTATAACGCCACTTTAAACAAGTTTTGCCTATACCTCTACTACATAGGAGGTCGTCTATTGTATGAAACGCTGCAATCGAATTTATCAAAAGTCATTCCTACAATATCTTCTTTAAATAGATACATTGTTGAAAATAGTACAAAACTGGACGAAGGTGCTATGGACTTCCAAGGATTAAAATTATTCCTAGAAGAAAGAAATTTAAAGAAATTTGTTTGGATCAGTGAAGGTGCGACTCGAATAACGGGTCTAATAAAGTGGTGGGATTTGTGCTTTCTTCAAAAAATGGGCTACCGGAAACAAACCAGTACATAGCTTCTTCCCCTCAAACTATTCAAGAGTACTTCAAGACTGGAACAAAAGCTCATTATGCGCACATAATTGTGGCACAACCCCTATCTGATAATTCTCCTCCGTACTGCCTCACCATTTTTGGGACCGACAATAAATTTACTTATCAAGACATCAAAAATAGATTTGCCATTATGCAGAAAGATGCCCAAAAGTATGGAATTTCAATTCTAGGTTTTTCTTCTGATGGAGACACGCGACTTCTCAAAGCGATGCGTTTAAATTCTCGCCTACCTATTTCATCCGACGAAAATCATTAGAATAATTGGGAATGGTACCAAATGGGTTTCAGTGACAGCGATCTGACATCGTATGTCCAAGACACTGTACATATTATCACAAAGTTAAGAACAAGGTTTTTAAAATCAGACTCAATATTACCTCTAGGGAATTGCGTTGCTACAGTTAATTTTTCGTTTTTTCAATGTTCAAGTTCTTTATTTTCAATATTTACATTTTTCGAAGCTCTGATTTAATTTTTTTGGCTTTTTCATATTTCATTTTCCAATTATTCAAGTTTGCAATTTGTTTCTGATTCGAAAAGTTAAAAATTGAAAAATTAAAAATGGAAGAAACAAAAAAAAATGAAAATTTGAAAAACCGAATATCGAAAAATTGAAGAAATGAAAAATTGAAAAATGTAAAAATTGAAACATTTAAAAGTTGGAAAACCGGAAACCTGAAAAATGTTGAAATGAAAACTTGACGAAATGCAGATCGTAAAATTTGAAAAAATAAAAAATTGAATAACTGAAAAATTGAAAATTGAAAAAAAAAAATGAAAAACTAAATATTTAAAAAACTTTAATTTGAAAATTGCAAATTCTAAAAATTGAAAAAACAAAAAAAATGTATTTAAAAATTTTAAAACCAAAAATTGAAGAAATGAAAAACGGAAAAAATTGAAGTCGAAAATTTGAAGAAATAAAAAGTTAAAAAAATTTAAAACTCGAAAAATTTTAAATCAAAAATTGCAGAATCTAAAAATTGAACAAAAAAATAAAAATTTGAATAATTGCAAATTCAAAAACTGAAGAAATGAAAAATAAAAAATTGAAAATTTTAAAAATTGAATCATTCAAAATTTGGAAAATCGGAAACCTGAAAAATTTTTAAAAGAAAATTTGAAGAGATCCATATCGTTAAATTGAAGAAATAAAAAAAATGAAAAATTGAAAAATTGCTGAGCCAAAAATTGAAAAAAAGGAAAAATTGAAAAAATTGAAATCGAAAATTTTAAGAAATAATAAATTAAAGAATTGAATAATTGAAAATTAAAAGCTGAAAACTCGGAAAATTTTAAATCGAGAAATTGTAAAATCAAAAAATTGAAGAAACACAAAAAATGAAAATTTGAAAAATCGAATATCGAAAAATTGAAGAAATAAAAAATTGAAAAATGTAAAAATTGAAACATTTAAAAGTTGGAAAAATGGAAACCTGAAAAATGTTGAAATGTGTGAAAAATGTTGAAATGAAAACTTGACGAAATGCACATCGTAAAATTGAAGAAATAAAAAAAATGAAAAACTGAAAAACTGAAAAATAAAAAATTGAAAAAAAAGAAAAACTCAAAATAAAAAAAAAATTTTAATCGAAAATTGCCAAATCTAAAAAGTTAAAAAAGAAAAAAAATGTAGTATTAAAAAATTTTAAATCCAAAAATTGAAGAAACGAAAAACGGAAAGAATTGAAATCGAAAATCTGAAGAAATAAATTGTTAAAAAAAATTAAAACTCGAAAAATTCTAAATCAAACCTTGCAGAATCTAAAAATTGAACAAAACAATAAAGAATTGAAAAATTGCAAATTCAAAAATTGAGGAAATGAAAAATGAAAAAAATTTAAATCAAAATTTGAAGAAATAAAAATTAAAAAATTGAAAAATTATTAATGAAAAGTCGAAAAATCTTAAATCGAAAAATTGCAAAATCTAAAGATTGAAAAAACAAAAAAAATGAAAAAATGCAAATTCAAAAATTGAAGGAACAAAAAATTGAAACAAAAAATATTGAAAATTTTAAGAAATCAAAAATTAAAGACTCGAGAAATTGAAAAATTAAAAATTCAAAACTCGACAAACAGTAAATTGAAAAATTACAAAATCTAAAGATTGAAGGAGAAAAAAAATGTATTTAAAAATATTAAATCCAAAAATTGAAGAAATGAGAAACGGAAAAAAATTAAATCGAAAATTTGAAGAAATAAAAAGTTAAAAAAATTAAAACTCGAAAAATTTTAAATCAAAAATTGCAGAATCTAAAAATTGAACAAAAAAATTGAACAAAAAAATAAAAAATTGAAAAATTGCAAATTCAAGAACTGAAGAAATGAAAAACGAAAAATTGAAAATTTTAAAATTTGAAACATTCAAAATTTGGAAACCTGAAAAATTTTTAAAAGAAAATTTGAAGAGATCCATATCGTAAGATTGAAGAAATAAAAAAAATTAAAAATTGGAAAAATTGAAATCGAAAATTTGAAGAAATAATAAATAAAAGAATTGAATAATTGAAACTTAAAAGCTGAAAACTCGGAAAATTTTAAATCGAAAAATTGTAAAATCAAAAAATTGAAGAAACAAAAAAAAATCAAAATTGAAAATTTGCAATTCCAAAAATTCAGGAAAAAATTGAAACAAAAAACGAAAATTGAAGAAATGAAAAATTAAATATTGAAAACTCGAAAAATTATTATAAATCGAAAAATTACAAACTCTAAAAATGGAAGAAACAAAAAAAAAATGAAAATTTGAAAAACCGAATATCGAAAAATTGAAGAAATGAAAAATTGAAAATCTAAAAATTGAAACATTTAAAAGTTGGGAAAACGGAAACCTGAAAAATGAAAACTTGACGTAATGCAGATCGTAAAATTGAAGAAATACAAAAAAATGAAAAATTGAAAAACAGAAAAATTAAAAATTGAAAAAAATGAAAAACTAAAAATTAAAAAAAAATTAAATCGAAAATTGCAAAATCTAAAAATCGAAAACACAAAAAAAAATGTAGTATTGAAAAATTTTAAATCCAAAAATTGAAGAAATGAAAAACGGAAAATTTTAAATCAAAAATTGAACAAAAAATAAAAAATTGAAAAATTGCAAATTCAAAACCTGAGGAAATGAAAAATGAAAAAAATTGAAATCAAAATTTGAAGAAACGAAAAATTGAAACAAAAAATATCGAAAATTTTAAGAAATCAAAAATTAAAAATTCAAAACTCGAGAAATTGTAAATTAAAAAATTACAAAATCAAAAACTGAAGGAGAAAAAAAATAACAATTTGAAAAATCGCAAATCGAAAAATTCAAAAAACAAAAAAATTAAAAATTTAAGAATTGAATATTTCAAGTCAAAAAAGCGGCGGAAGTATCATTTACGCTACTGGTTTTTATTTTATAGAGGTTATCAGAACACAAATCTCAAAATTTTCTATAAATTTTTAAAGAAGCGGGATTTATTAGGCTGCACTTCAGAGGCGGGGGAATATTGTGTCACAATTTATCACTTTTTGCCATTCAACATACATTTTATCTAATAATATAAGTTTAATTTTAATATCAATATCGTAGAAAAAATGAAGAATTCCTGTTACCCATACTTTTCAAAAAAACATTTTTTTATTAAATTTCAAATGACGCGTGTTTTGGAAAATTTTGAAAAGCGTATAATCTGATTACATCCTGAAACCATAATTTATAAACTGTTTTTGATAAAAATAAAACAAGTTTTTTGAGTCATCAATCAAATACTTTATTTTTAAATCTATTTAGTAGTAGTAATCACAAATAATCTTGATAAAACGGAGATTGCTACGATAGATATACTTAGTTTTATATAAAAGATGATACACCGATTTAGTTGTTTGTTTATTTAACATTGAAAAATGTTTCCACATCTTGCATTTGTCTCAGTTTTATTTCAAATAAATTATCTAGTGTTTATTCTTGGCGATCCTTTGGTGCAGTTACCCATCGGGCAAATCCTAGGGCGAGAAGCTACTACTTTTGAAGACATACATTTTTTTGCTTTCGAAGGAGTACCATATGCAGCCCCTCCCTTGGGACCCCTTCGATTTAAGGTTCGCTATACATTTTTCCAAAAAAATATTGTTACTCTACTTTTCTATTTGAATTTTAGCCCCCACAACCCCATGACAACTGGGATGGAATACTTAGCACCACGTCTTTGAACACAACATGCTTTCAGTCATCAATGGATACAGACCAAGAATCAGAAGACTGTTTGTATATTAATATATACACTCCCGAAGTAACCATTTTTAAATTCTCATTTCAAACAATTACATAACAACACTTGCAGCTCCCAAGTGACAATAACGATCCTTCGTTAAATGTACTAATCTTCATTCACGGTGGAGGATTTAACGTCGGCTTTAGTCAGGACTATCTACCAGATTTATTCCTCAGACAAAACATTATATTTGTCACATTCAACTATCGACTAGGAATATTTGGTAAACATTCTTCAGTTGTAGATCCTGCTCAATCAACCATGTTTTAGGATTTGCATCTACACAAGACGAAGTCATTCCCGGAAATAACGGCCTCAAAGACCAACAATTTGCACTGAAATGGACCCATGACAATATTCGTGTTTTCGGAGGCGACCCCAACAAAATAACCATCATGGGACAAAGTTCAGGTGCTGTGTCGGTGGCCCATCAAATCGCTTACCAAAACAATAAAGGTTAGTTTAAAATGGGATTAATATTTACTTCCAAGTAGGTTTGTTTCAGGGTGCGATCCTAGAAAGCGGAACTTTTCTAGTACCATATTCTATTACCAGAAATGCTAGAAAAACCATATTCGATGCAGCGGCAAGCCTGAATTCTGATTTTGAAACTAACAACGATTCTCAAGCTTTGCTTGAATACTTGAGAACTGTCGATGCGAAGGATTTAGATCGCGCAGGATTCGACGCTTTTATAATTGTGCGTTAAAAAAACAAACTTATTTTTTATTGCAATCAACATTGTAGGGAACCTCTGCCGAGAATTACGCCCTCTTGCAAGGTCTCATCTGGGGTCCTGTAATCGAGGTTAAGAACGAAGACGCCTTTCTTACTAGAAAAATGTACGGGATGCTAAATGCCGGCAACTTCCTTTCGGTGCCTATTTTAGTGGGTTTTAACTCGGAAGAAAGTTTATCAATGGGTGAAGGTACGTCGATGTCGTGCTAAAATAAATTAGCAAAATTATTTCATGTCTTAGATGCGGATTCTTTGAAAACACTAATGCAGCAGTATGATGACCATGTGGAGTGGTTGGTGCCTAAAGACATGCACATTTTGGACAACCCGGGTCTTAAAACGATGGGTGAAACTATCAGAAACATGTACACAGGGGGAAATCTCTACGTTGACAATCTAGCAGCGTCTATTACAGTAATGCAACTATTATATTTCAGTTTTTGCGAAATTAAAAGGACACTTGTTAGTGTTTCAGCGATAACATTTTAAACCGTGCGGTTCTTAAGTACGCAGAACTCTTTTCAAGTTTCTCGGATGCTTATTTTTACCAGTTTTCGTATGACGGGCAGCTGGGTCCTCGTTTCCCACACTACGATGGTGCTGCCACTGTCAACCATGCATTCGAGATGTTTTATCTTCTGTGCTATCAAATGAATTGCGATATTTCCGATTACCCGGATTCAGATAGACTAAATCGGGAACGTTTGCTGGCTTTGTGGAGCAATTTCATCAAATATCAGTAGGGATATTTTGAAGCAACGATGCAGTGATTTTGGGATGTTTTTTTCTTTTGTAGGAACCCCACACCTGAGCCTATCGAGTTGTTGCAAAATGTTACTTGGCCGTTACTTGATACGTCAGATGGGAATTTTTATTATCTGGATATTAACGAAAATTTGGAGATTAAAAACCACCCGAAAGAGGGAAGGTACAAGGCCTGGGAGGAAGTATATCAGAACTTGCCTTATGATGATTTCGACACTTACTAAAATGCTTGCATATGTGTTGATAGATTCTATTTAAAATATACATGTTTCGCATTACTTGTAGATCGATGTTTAGAAAATAAAGGACTAGTTCATAATTCGTTTATTATGCCTGGATGTTTGAAGTGGACCCAATTAAACTCTCTATAAAGCTTGATTATTGTGATGGACCAATTTCATAAAAAACCGAAAAATATGCTCCTCTATTCGTCAACCCATCCAACTGTTCGAATGTACTTGAGTAATGCAGAGGGTGGGAACTAGCGCTGGACACTCACGAAGAATGTACTCAGCTGTTTCTTCTTCTTCATTGCATCCACGACAGATTGGGTCTGTTACCACCCCTATCGTATGTAGATGTTTGTTAAACTGGTAATGTTCCGTAAGGAATCCTACCAGTTTACGCAGTTTGTCCCTTGAAAGTGAGAGATAAAATTTGGTCAACTTACGGTCTGGTGTCGCCATACAAGCTCTACTATGCCGACAGCTGCTCAACTTCACCCATATCTGCTCATGGCGTCTCTGGGTATATTGCTTTACGAGTTCGTTCGAGAGGGCGACCGAAGGCGTGATTGCCGGTTCGAGTCCCCAGAAGGGCATGCGCGCGGCTCGCTTCGCCATCTCATCTGCCCTCTCGTTTCCTTCGTTGCCACTGTGTCCTTTGATCCAACAAAGTTCCACACTATTCCTCTGCGTTACATACTTTAGCGTTTGTCTGCACTCCCAAACCAGCCCGGATCGAACCATACAGCTGTCCAGGGCTAGTAGTGCCGACTTGCTGTCAGTAAGTATGCGTATTGATTTGCTGCCAATTTCACGTTCAGCAATGATTCTAGCTCCCAGCATTATTCCCATCAGTTCTGTTTGTAAGACAGACGTGTGGGTGCCGAGAGGTACACTGATTTGTGCGTTCAGTTGTTCGGAGTAGATGCCGGCTCCTGAACCACTATCTGTTTTGGCACCATCGACATAGATATCTATGTCGGCTCGTCCTTCTGAATTATCATTCATTGATATTCTATATGCCTTCTCATATATTAATTTTGTGCCCATTCGGTCACAACCCATCCTTAACAAGGGTATTCTGTTGAACACCTCCGTTAAAATCCGAGTGTGCTTCGTTGTGCGGCCTTGCTTGTTCCATACTCCCAGAGAGTGAAGTCTTAGAGACGTCGTCATTGCCGCTTCCTCTATGTAAAGGTTAAGAGGTGGTAAGCAAAGAAGAGTCTCCAGCGCCGCTGTGGGAGTGGTCCTCATTGCTCTTGTAACACTGAGACGCCATTCTCTGAACGTGTTCAAGTTGCAGGGCTGTTGTTTTTTGTCTGGCTCTGGGCCATCAAACTAAAGCTCCATAGCACAGCATCGGTCTGACTATTGCGGTGTAGATCCAGAGGGCGATCTTGGGATTTAGACCCCACGACCTTCCCACCACCCTACGACATTGCCAAAGAGCCGAACGTGCCTTTTCCACTTTATCATCTACATGCTTGTTCCAATTCAGTCGCCAGTCCAATACAACTCCCAGGTATTTGACTTCGTCCGAAAGTTGAAGCGTTGTGTTAAATATTTTTGGCATCTGTGTAGTGTGCCAATTTTCCTTTTCCTAGTGAACAGGATTAGTTTCGTCTTTTCTCCATTAACGGAGAGGGTATGCCTGCTGCACCATTCCTCGACTATTTTTACTGCAGCTTTCATTATCTCACATAATGTATCTGCGTTTTTTCCTGTTAGCAGAATGACTAGATCGTCCGCGTATCCAATTGTGTGGTAGCCAAGATCATTGAGGCGTCGTATCAGGCTGTCAACGACAGTATCCCACAGTACAGGAGAGAGAACTCCTCCCTGAGGACATCCCCTGTCTACAATAGCCTCGATCTCAGTGACACCTACATTAATCATTACTTCTCTATTCCTCAGCATGCCGGCCACCCACCTACTTAGGGTGGGGTCCACGTCGTGCTCTCGTAGGGCTAGTTCTATGCTTTTGAAGGTCGTTTTATCAAACGCTCCTTCAATATCCAAAAACATTCCTAAGGTGAAGAGTTTGTTCTCCATCGCCCACTCTATACGATTTACAACTGTGTGTAGGGCCGTATCGGTGGATCTTCCTTGGATGTAGGCATGTTGGTTCGGATGTAGAGGTTGTTTGCTCAAAGCAGTCTCCCGAATCTCTTTTTCGCTTAGTCTTTCTAGCGTTTTCAGCAAGAATGATGTTAAGCTAATTGGTCTGTAGGATTTAGCCAAGGTGTAATCTTGTCGTCCTGGCTTAGGTATAAAGATAACCTTTACTTTTCACCATGCATTCGGTATGTAGCTGAAAGCCAGACACGCCCGAAGCATTGGCAACAAAATAGGGCGTAGTCTGCTCATTCCCCTCTGCAGGAGGGCGGGATAAATACCGTCAACTCCTGGAGATTTGTATGGGAAAAGCTGTCCACTGCCCACTCCAATCTTGCCTCCGTGACTACCTTTGCCGCCAGCGCCCAGTCCTTCGGGGAAGGTTGAGTACCGGCTACATCCCTTTTGGAATGGGAGGTAGTCCTTGTGCTGCCTGGAAACATGGTCTGCAGCAAAAGTTCTGCGGACTCTTCTAAGGTGGCTGTAAAGGTGCCATCTTCTTTCTTTAGGAAACCTAGTTGATGTGTGTGGTCCTTCGAGAGAACTCTCTTCAGCCTTGCGGCCGAAGCAGTCGACGTTATGTCGCTACAGAAGGATCTCCAAGTTTCCCGTTTCCTCTTTCTTAATTCTTTCTTAAACTCTTTCCGGTGCTCTTTATAGGCTTCCCAGTCTTCAGTTTTCTTAGTGTTTTTTGCTCTATTGAAAAGTTTTCTTACCCCCGATTCAAGTAGGCTGAGCCTTCGGTTCCACCATGGTGTACCTTTGCCCAGACCTTCCTTCTTTAAGGGGCAACTTTTCTCATACGCTGACATTAGAGAGTCGTTGATAATGGTCAAGGTTTTCGCTATGTCTTCTGTCGATCTGTATTCTGTTGGTATAGACTGCACGGAGGTCCCCAGTCTGTCGTCCAGTTCTTCGTTGTATAAAGCCCAGTTCGTCAGCCTAGGGTTCCTGTACGTCTTTGTCTCCATGTCTATACATTTTAATGTATACATGATCCATCTATGGTCTGACACTGACGCCTCTTTAGAGACGTGCCATCCCATTATATAGTGTGAGATATCCCATGTATATAGCCAGTGTAATATCTATTACTGACTGACTACGCGATGTTACGAAAGCTGGTTCGCAGCCTCGGTTGAGAATCTCTAGATTTGTTGATAAAAGATATTCAGCTAGTGTTCTTCCTCTATCATTAGTATCTTTGCTCCCCCACATCAGACAGTGGACATTCGCATCGGTACCGATGATGAGGTTTATATTTCCGGTATCACAGTGTTCCACCAAGTTCGCCATTTCCCATGTTGGACATGGTTCCTGTGCTCCCTGTGGTAAGTACACGGATGCTATTACCAGTTGCTCTTCGCCTCTTCCTATGTTACACTTAACATTTACCGCAGTCACATCCCTGGAGCTGACCTGAGGTAGGAGGACGGCTTTAATTTTCCTGGGAATGTAGATGCATGTCCTTAGAGCTTCTATTGTGGTACCTGAAACAACAGTGCCATTTAAATTGCTCAACCCTGCTATCCTGGATTTTACTATCCATGGTTCTTGGATTATTGCTATAGTGTTCTGCATCTTGTCTAGACAACGACACAAAACAGTCGTCGCCATGCGACAATGCTGCAGGTTAATCTGAATGAAATTTATCTGCTGCAGCGCCATCTCTGCAACCAAAAAATCCCATACCTGTCCTAGGAAACACGAGGCATATGTCTCAGGCGGGCCCGCCCCCACTGGTAGAGGTTTCATCCCCTGGGGTTTCTACCTCTTCCATAGGGGTCCGCCCTTCCTGAGCCGACGCCTCGTTCTCCTTGAGTTTCAGGTTGAAAGAGGACAGCATATAGTTGATTCTGCCCTCTCTCTCCCTGATTATCTTGGCCTCATCCATCCCAAGACCAAACACAAAGAGGTTGCCTGGAGAGGCAGCCTCGGGTTTGACCTCACGATGGAAAAGAAGCCATTTTTTGACCTGGGGCCATTGGTTCTGACCCTCCAGGCGGCGAAGTGCGACTCCTGCATCCACCGGTGATCCCGGTATCCACAGGGTCGCCTTCACCAACCTTGGTAGCTCAGCCAAGGGGACCACGTTAAGTTGTGCGCCCTCCCACAAGGGTGTTAGGGAGCGCACTGTTTGTTGTAGCCATTTCAGGAACACCTCGTCTTCACAGGTTATCCTTAGGATTTTCCCTGTATACTTAATGCCCCTGAAAGTGGCTGCCTATCTACCCGATGCCAAGCACTGGTCAAGTTGCCTGTCCAGCGCTCCCATCAGGCCCTTTTGTACTATCTCCACCTGGTCAGCAGTCAGCTTACCAAGTGGATGCTGCACATCAATCACAGCTACACGGAGATGACTTGCAGCCGCCTCCCTGTAGCTCTGTTCTCTAGAGGTAGTCTCCTGCCTCCTCATCCTCTTTTGCTTTTCAGCTGCCGGAGGTGTGGAAGTTGAGGTCTTTTTCCCCGTGGGTTGTTTAGGGTTGGCTATCGTAGCCTGCCCTTTACCCTTGGGGTTTATCCCGGAGGAGGATGGACCCGGTTTCGGCGGGTCGGTATTCGCCGCCTGCAAACGAGCCTTCCTCCGCCTTTTTACCTCAGCCCCGCAGATTCGCTTCCTCCTAGGAGGCTGCGACCCCACATTGACCGGGTTTTCTGTTTGAGGTGCACCCGAAGGCACTTCCTCAGTGGTTTTTTTGTTGTTATTCTCCATGGATCTGGAATTTAATTTGCATCCCTCTGAAATTTATATAAAAAATCGGCGTTTGGAGCCAAGTGTCCTTTAAATAAATGGTTTTTGGGGGCAGAATATGTAGTAATACCCTTTTCTCTAAGAGTCTTATTGATGATTCTGTATAAACGAGTAACAGGTTGATTGTTATAAACTCCGGAAGTTTTAAATACGTCTTCTCCTTTCTCCATTTTGGCCTTGTCGCGCCCAAGGAGTTAATCGTTCTTTACTGTAAACGAGACTCAGTAT